TGTATCAGCGGCTGTGACGAGGCTCTTCTTTCTCTTGTCCCTTGCATGCCGGTTGCTTTCTGGTTGCACGTTGTCAACAGGCTTTGATTTTCCCTACATGGATCATAATTTTTCGTTACCTATGAACAGGCCAGATGAAGGGAAGATCGTAAAAATGGCAAAAGGTTGAAACAGCGAATCACTTTTATGTGCGCTTAACAAACAAGAACATACCACATGTAGAAATTTGCTCAAGCCAACATGTGCCTAACAGTGAATAATAATGGTTATCATTACTAACGCTTAGCACTTATTATCGCATTTTGACATGAAAGTGCTTTAGGCCGGGGTTCACCAAGACTTCAGGGATGTATAGTTCCGGCACGGAAATGACCTCAAAGATAGGCACGATAAGATGGCAACAAAAACTTTCTTCAACCGGAGTTAAAATCACGATCTGTCGGTCAGCGGCAACAGATGATCGGTGCACAAGCCTCTATGATACGGTCACAAAAGCTGGATGATTTACAAACGCGCTTTTCAAATCTCACACATTTTCACACAAACGCGTTTTCATATCTCACACACGCCATGCATTAATTAGCATGGCCTCCGCAATTAGCTCTTGCAACACGTCATTGCTCTGCGTTCATTCCTCTCGTAGCGTTTGGAACAAGATAAGTGCAATTATGGCCGGGCTAGAGGCTTGGGTGACCTTCGCCCAAGCTCTTCGTCCAATCAACGACACTCTGCTATGGCTGCGACAGCACTTTCTCTGATTATTCGCACACCGCGAACTACTACGGCTGCCACAAACGTTTGTTTAATCATTGATCGTGGACGTTATTCAAGGAGATAAAGACGTACCACTAAGAGTGAATGTAGGTGAAACATTAGCGGAATGCCAGTGTTTTGTTTACGTTTTACGAGAACCAACGCTCCCGCTGTCACAGCTGCTGCGGCTAGATTGGGCCAAATAACAAATGTGGGGAAAAATTTACATGCTCAGGAACATAGCTGGGCCCCCACCCTCTGACATCACTGCGGCAGCCCTTCGGCTTTGAAATTTTGTCGGTGTTGATCCGAGGCACACGTCACCTGTGCAATGGGATGGATCAACGAAATTACGCTTGACTGTAAAAAGGTTACATCAGCCTGACCGGCCAATGCATAAACGATCAAGTAAGAGAGCAAGATCGTTCGATCAAAATATTTTTCATTACATTTGCCTGTGCACTGCAGCGCGTGAATATATAAGGCAAGATTTGTTAACATCACCGTTCCGGGTAGAAGCAAGGAGGTGATTGAGCAAAAGATGCAATAAGCATATATCAAAGAAAAAGATAAATGCATGAGCAATTCGTCAGTAGTTATGCGTTATGCTGAATTTTATTTTTTTGCAGGTGTATGAACCAGAACGTGCTTTGAGTGTCAGAATGTGCGATGTGACGTGTGGTGTCTTATTGCGCATGTGTGCTACGGTGGATATATTGTGGTTGTTTCGCAAAACTAATGTTGCTTGCAAACTGGCGCTATTTCGTTTTGCCTATTCTTCTACGGTGGTTCGCGCTGTCTATATCTCTTGTGGCTATTCTTAGTGTTGCTCAGCAATGCTAAGTGATTGCTTTTTCACTAGACATTGGGAAGTTTTGGTATGTTTTCTCGCTTATTCTGAGTTTCACGAAGTTGCTAGGCAGTTGGAAGTTTTCGCTAAGTCTTGCCAAGTGTTGAAAAGCGACGCACAGACTTGCCGAGTCTCACGTTCTATCACTCTAAACCGGCTTTCAGTCTCGGGAGGTGTCCCAGCATTAGAGCGGAAAGCAGTGTTTCTGAGTGGTAGCCAGTAATGCTCAGCTGTGGGCCAGGACCAGCTAGGTGCCGATCAGCAACACCGGGTCTCTGGCCTGGCGCCACCAGTGCAAGGTATGCCCAGCTAGTTTAAACCAAGCAGCCAGCCTTGCCTTGTAAGTTCGAGATATTGAGAGAGCGAGACGGTGAAGCGAACGCTAATCTATGCACAGATGCGCCAGCAGTCGCTAGCTAAAACAATGTGAGGTCATCGCTCCACAAGGTTTTTGTCCGTAATGGATGGACTAGTGCCAGGCTCCTACAGCTCTGCTGTTAAGGCGGATCCACACGAGGGGACGGAGGAGTTTTGGCAGTGGACGGCGCATCACGTGACGCGTGCGTCATGGGAACTTGCTGTCTTCGTTTTACTCACTCTCCTCCGCTCACTGCACGGATAGTAATGCTACTAGTACACTCTAGTAATGTATCGCTCCTATTTCGCACCATCCATTTGACCATTGTCTGTCCTTGAAAGAGAGCATTCAGCGTCAAATCTGTCAATATTGATTGGATTGGCCAGGCTATGATGCAGGCTGCCAGCTTAAAAGCCACGTGTTTTAGTTTTGCGGCAACGTCTGAATGTGTTTCGTGTGACAGTGGAAGAGGAGAGTGATTTTTTTTTGGTCGCATTGCCCCGCCACGCTGGTCTAGTGGCTAAGGTACTCGGCTGCTGACCCGCAGGTCGCGGGACTGAATCCCGGCTGCGCGGCTACATTTCCGATGGAGGCGGAAATGTTGTAGGCCCGTGTGCTCAGATTTGGGCGCACGTTAAAGAACCCCAGGTGGTCAAACTTTCCGCAGCCCTCTACTACGGCGTCTCTCATAATCATATGGTGGTTTTGGGACGTTAAACCCCCCATATCAATCGCCAATTAGGATTCCACGAGCGTAGCTCCAGCTGTGTGCACGCGAAGTCTCCGCTGCTGCGCTGGATTAAACTAATCACGTGACTATTCGGTCCATGGAGCAGCGGTATTTCGCCCTCGCGTGGGAATCTAGTTTTCGAAACCCCGGATCCTCCCCTGTGAACAAAATGCTTTGGAAGCGTAGAAACAAACTAGCCCAGGTATAAATTACCAAAAAAGCAGCACGCTGTCAATAATACTAGTCTGGAAATGCGTTCGCTGTTTAACGTAGGTTATCTGGAAGTAGAGCATGCGTACCAGCGACTATAAGTGTTCAATGCATGCAGTCACCTTGTGGTGGGCCCGTTCAGAAGCACTTTTCCCCGAGGCCCATCTTTTGCCGCCATGACCCTCGTGGGGATGGTCCTGGCCACGGCTGCTCGTCTTGTGCCCCGAAGTTCGAGGTGACTTGTGGACTTGGGCGACGTTGCCTCTTGGTGTAGACGCCGAAGTCGATGCAGGCGACTGCACTTGGTCCATTCTTCTTCTTCCTCCTCTTCTTCATCTCCAGTCAATTTCGATTCGTTGGAAGTTTGAGGTAAGCTGATTGTAACTTAAACCTCGTTTGTGGTCGTTGGAGGGAAAAAATAGGCGCTGTGATTTTTCTTCCACCGCGTAATAAAAGCTTGGACGAAATAAATAGAAAGGAAAAAATTTTTTTCACTAGCTTCGTCGGCAGAAATTTATCGGTTGATAATGAAAAATAACAGCATTACGGGTCACCTGGCACATTAGGTTATTGATACGGACATTCCTGTACATTCGACATTTTGTTCGAGAAAGGTCTTCCGATCTTTTATGACTAAGACAACTGATTATGATGATGGCCTATATGCATGGCTCACACAAAAGCCACGTTCTTTTTACCTCTCCGTCGATGGTACTGGTATTGTTCGAAAGCTGTCCGCGCCCAAAGGGATGTTGCTTTGCCTCCGGTGTCGGAAGAAGTGGAAGCTTTGTAGCCCTTATGTATTACTGCAGTGCTTCGTGATCAGCATATCTTTCAACTCACGACAGCATCCTCTAATGGCGCAACATTCTGTGGCGTCATAGTGACGTTACGATGGCAATACATTACAGCGAAAGCTGTAATGGGATCCCAACTCGGGTCTCACGCAGTGCCACATAGTTGTCCGCCGCCACCACCGGTGTCCGTAACTACGTGCGAAATTAGAAAAAAAAAACCTGCTGCCGATGACACAGTGGGGGCTCGAACCCAAATCTTCTGGCTTCGAGCCACGCCAGTGCTTGGGACTTGTTGGCAAACTCGCTTTAGGCAGGCTTGATGTCGGGAAAGCGATCGCGTTATTATGACTCTTAAAGCATTTTAAAACAGCGAAAGAACAAGCAGTCGTCGCACAATGCGAATGGCGTAACGAGTGAATAGCCCAATCATCCAACACTTTACAAAGGCTTGTTCTTGTTCAGCTATTAACTATGGCGCATACCCACTTCAGGCATAATTCCTCATCATCGTCAACCACTGCATGGAAAATTGGCCCAGAATTCCTCGCAATAGTTCTGCAGATACCACGCTCCTCAAACGAATGACGAAAAATAGCTTAGCGACCGCCGGCCTTCTACGCCAGAATTTTTTTATTAATGCCGTAGTGGGCATCAAGCAAGTGTGCTTGCAGCAGTTACCCAATGAGTGTTTAGAAAAGGCTCTGAAAGGCCGCTCTTCTGGCTGTCGCTGTAACTGTGATGCACCTTCCGTGCCAGCCTGGCATTTTTTGGTGACGTCTTACATCACGATGCTGTTATTTCAAGAATATATCTTTCGTGCCTCACACTGACATGTTTCGTAAAAACACACGAGCACAACGTGGTGATTTAAACACTGTCAAAATTCTCACTATAAAACGAATACAGTAAACACACAGACTCTCGGACATAAACACACTTGCGCACATATGACAAACAGCAAGCCCAGAGTAACATAACGTATATGATGCGTTGCATGTACAATAGAAAACTTCAGTAATGGCATGACAATGTGAAACACTATGCCTAGAATGCCAAAACTAATGTAACTAATAATGTCTCTAGTCATCATGGAGACGAAGTTTCACACCCGGACAATATCTAAGTGAGCACATCATGATAGCTAGAACACATGACAAACACAGGAATCATCCTCGAGCCTTTCTTTGAGCAGCTTTAGGACGACCGTGGCCGGAGTCATCTGACACACACACATTGCAACCAAATTATCGACGTTGGATCCGTTTTAACAATGTCACTGCTCCTTTCCACCTCAATGCAAGCATGTCGACGGGTCTTGTGACAACCACGCGGGTGACACACGCAACGCCTGCTGCCCTGTACGCCCATTCGGCGCATAGTGACTGCGAGATGGACACCAAAATGCCCAAGCGCACTCGTTGCAAGGACATCACCTGGCAGCTCGTAGAGGAGGAACCTGGAAGGAACGTGAACGGGAGGATTCGATGTGGCGAAATGCCGTTGATTGGTTTATTTTTTATTTCTACTTTTCTAACATTTTTATGCTACAGCCACGGAATACCTCTGTTTTCTGCCTCTTTCTTTTCCCTTTCATACCTTTTCTTCTTTCCCCAAACCCATACCGGTCATTTGAGGCGTCTTCGTAATTAGAAACAGTTACAAATCGGCCCTTTTCTTAACACCCTTCCTTTACATAAATACATAGAGAGTGCGAAGCGATGTCAGTGATGCAGGTGCGGTTGAGTGAAATGTGGCGTTGCTGTTTTCACTCATCGTCACGGGAATGCTAAACCGTGCAGATTGAACGGCCCAACTTGGAATCTCACAGAAACGCAGTGACCACGCTGTTTTCTTGGTACGTCGTCTGAATTTGTGTCACAGAAGTGACGTGCTTCTGTGTTCTCATATACTTCCAGCCACAGCCTTGGCAGATCATAGGTGCCTTTCTAGGCAGCGCCTAGGTGGCCACCACCAATGATCTCTTATTTGTGCTGTGTTAAGGCAGTGTTCTGTACGAAAATGAAATGGTGATGCTTCATATTTTCTCGGAAATATACGTTTAAGTTCACTGGCAGAGTATTATGCAATCTTCCCTTTGGAGTGTCATCGTTGTATTTACTCAAAGATATCCTGGCGACACAGGCTCGTAATATAAGCGAGATTTGCTTAATGTTTGAGGCTTGGTACATATGTTTCTTTTTATGCAGTCATTTTTGATCACGCATTAACACATTCTTGTAAGAAAGCGCGCTTTTCGCACATTTGTTCAAATAAAGTCTGGTGCATGGAGTTTCTATATTCGACAGTAAATTAGGACATTGCTCAAGTCATTACCATCAAACGATTCGCAAAGAACGTGTTGACGTGCATGCTTTCGGCTCAGGTTATCCTGGGCGGGGGTCTAGCGTACTTCAAGGACAAGCAGCGAGGCGGAGGCAAGCGCAGCGACGGCCTTGACCTGGTTGATCTCTGGAAAAAGGACAAGAAGAACCGGAAGTTCGTTGGATCTCGCGAGGAGCTGCTGGCCATCGACACCAAGAAAACTGATTACCTACTCGATGAGTTCTCCCTCAATAAGGCCTTGACGGGGATTTTCAAATGCTGCATCGTTCTTTTGCTGCGTTGTACTGTTACACCTAGATATAATAAAATGTGTGTCTAGTCCATAGGTCAGCGAAAAATTGGGCATTCAAGAAATACATGCTGTGCTTACTTGGACTCGGACTGACTGACATTCTCATGAGCACTTTCTTGGGATCAGACTCACCAAAATTTTCTGCAACCGGACTCGTTAGAGCGCATACACAAGGCTAAATATATCTGCGTAAGTATGAGTGAGTCGACCAGTCAGTCTTCCGGCGCATAATTAGCTATTTCGACCGTATATAGCAAATGCTCGTAAATGCTTCACATAATTAGTGGTCAGCGGGGGCGCCTTTTGATGTCCTATCTTCGAATACAAGTTATCAGTGGTTGAAATCTTGTAAGCACATTTTTATTGAGACTACTCACAGGAGGTATGTTTATCAATAATTTCCCGTGAATGGGTTAGCTGGTGGGAGAAGAAGTCGGGACAACTGCCCTCTCCCCCCGCGCCTTTGACCAATGTATATTGAGCTTGCATAGGGACGCTAGTGCGTTGAAGTATATGTGTGCGTAGACGTGAGTACAAACGTTAGCTTATACATGCTCACAACGAACCTGAAATTCAGTAGATGGAGCCATAGGTCGGTGAAAAAGGTGGCGCTCACTCAAGCTCACTCAAGGCACATATATAGTGCTTAGGGCTTACTTTGGCTAAGGCAATTCAGTTTTTCTCAGTCGGCCTCACTTGAACTTGCGCTGACGAACACATTACCCATCTGTATTCACTAAAATTCACTATCGTTACTCAATCTGAGTCTTTGTGAGTCGATTCACGAGTAGATTTTCCGACCTACGGTCTATGGTTTTTCAGTTTTTTTTCTCCTCTGGATGAACAGCACAGCGCAGAAAAGAACGAGTTCTATTTGCGTGACTGTGTACTTTTAACGCAATGTTTCAAGACGGCTTTACTAATTCTTAAAAATTGTTATTATGTGGTCCTCTGAAGTTTAGTGGGAAATCAGTAGCTGTAAGCACTTTTATTCGACTCTGTCAACGGATGTTTCGGACGTGACGCAAAATATACTCCCGAGATGCACGTATATGCGAATTCAGACTTCACGGAGTTCTAATGCTACAGGTGTCACAGAACGAGCGCTAAAAATGGGCGCGCCGCCAAATTCTTGCGATAACGGGCGGGAGAAACGCCGCGAGGTCAAAAGAAAAAAAAAGAAAACAAACATCCAAGGCTCCCCGGGCGCGCGACGCTCTCCCCTCGGAAGCGTGGCTTCGCCGATGAACCTCCTCACCCCACAGCGGCGGCCGGGCAAGCACTGGAAAGTTCCAGAAGGAAATAGGCGTGGTCATACCGAGTTGAGTCATCGGTCGGGGACGGCCCTCGTACAGTCTCGCGCCTCTCCCCAGCCTTCGCGGCGTATCGCGCCGATGAAATGACGAGAACCTTCTGGAATGTCGCGCGCACGGTATTTAACCGAGCAGCCGAGATGAGAGATCAGGAGAAGACGGAAGTAGCGCCAGAGTGCGTAGGGATTCCGCCGTGTAGTCGGCGAAGGTTTTGTCCGTAGGGACGAAGCAGGAAATGAAGAGGATTTCCACCTGAGGGGTGAAGGCTCGAGCTAAAGGCAAGAGAGTGCGTTTACCGCTATCGAGCGAAGACGCGTGGCGACAGCTGCGTGTGTGAAGCCGACGTGTTCGGGCGAAGAAGTTTGAAGCTTGGAGAGTGGCCAATTGAAGACGCGAGGTTTCCTGGAAGAGACACTTCGAGGGCGCGGAACGACAACAACGCTGGAGTTTGAGTGAGTGATTCTCGGAAGAGTATCATCCAGACTTTTGTTCCAAGGACTTTGGACTGAATAGGTTTTCTATCTCTTTAGTCTTTAAGTGTCTTGGTTGTTAAATGCATGCTACTGCATTGTAGTGTGAATTGTTGTCTGTGTCCGTTGTTTTGAGTGTGGCTAATTGTACTGTGTAGTACGTTGGTTGATTGGTGACACATTGTACTCAACTATTGTGGAGTGTGCATTCTTGTGTATTGTTTTCTATCTGCCATTATTGAGAATATAATTTAGTTTGTTTATCAACTCTCGGCTCTGACTTGTTCTTTGGGCCACAGCCGGCGTCTGCTGGCGCGCCAATAAGGACCACTTCTAAATTGTCCACGCTTTCGTGGTGCGGTTCGGGGGGCCGATACTTCGGCCCTTGGAATTAGCCCGGCGATCGCCTCCCTAAATAACGGGACCTGTGTGTGACAATCTGGCGTCCGCGACACAGGACCATTTGGTGCACAGTGTGTCCAAAGTAGTGAGAAAGAGCCTCGAGTTGTTGATAGTGCTATCGGAACGATTTTGTGTGTCGTTCAGTGTTCTCGTTAACGAGTGTAGAAGAGTGTTCCGATAGACTGATTTAGGCAGATACTTTTCGCACGCGGCAAGACTTTATTTGCGAGACACAATGGATCTCGAAAAGTTAGCAGCTCTTGGTGAGAAGATGGGTCTTTCTGGCGCCGAACTACGGAAATGGGTAAGCCAGAAGGAGAAAGAGGCGGTGGAAAGAGAGAGGTTGGCAGCTGAGAGAGCCAAGGAAGAAAAAGCAGCTGAGTTGGAACGAGAGAGGTTGGCAGCTGAGAGGGCCAAGGAAGAAAAAGCAGCTGAGTTGGAGAGAGAAAGACTGGCCGCTGAAATGGCGAGAAAAGAAAGAGAGGCAAAAGAGCGACAGCTGAAGGAAGAAAGAGAGCAGCAATTGAAGTTGGAGCTGGAGAGAGAAAAGTTGGCAGCCGAAAGGGCGAGAGAAGAAAGAGAAGCGGAGATGGCTGAAAGGGAACGGCAGCGGCAGCACGAGATGGAACTCGAGCGGCTCCGTTTGCAACAGCGAAGCGAAACTCCCGTCCAAGCTAGAGTTGAAAGCAGCGAACGGGAAGTCATGGCTTCCGCTTGAACCCAAGCAAGCTGCTCGTAGCGTTTGATGAAAGGAAGGACGACCTTGACGCGTACCTTCACCGGTTTGAGACGATTGTGAGGAGCCAGAATTGGCCGGAACATCAACGGGCAACTGCTTTGAGTACTTGCTTGAGTGGTGAAGCGCTCAGTGTGTACGGTAGGCTGACGCCGACCGATGCAGCCAACTATGCAAAGGTGAAAGCTGCTTTGCTGAAGCGATTTAGACTCACTGTAGAAGGATTCCGGGACAGATTTAGGACAAGAAAGCCGGCTGATGGTGAGACGGCTACACAGTACGCCGCCCGACTTAGCCATTATTTCGACAGATGGATTGAACTTTCAGGGACAGCGCAGGAGTACGATGAACTTAGAGAGCTCCTAATTAGAGAACAATTTCTTACTAGTTGCAGCCAAGCCTGTCGCTGTACTTGAAAGAGAGGAAGGCTGAGCCACTTGAAGGAATGCTTGAATTGGCTGATCAATTCTTGGAAGCGCAAGGTGGAACTAATTTCGCCAAGGTCAAGAAGGATTGTCCCGATGATTCGAAGAAATTGGCTCCCAAAGAAAAGAAGCGTGCACCAGAGAGCATTCCGCGATGTTTTCTGTGTAACCGAGTGGGTCATCGCGCGAAAAACTGTCGAACGATCTTTACGAGCCCTACGGCAGTAAAATGTTTCAAGTGTGGTCAGACTGGGCACAAAGCAGACGCTTGTCGGAACGGAGTGAGTCAAACTCACCAGGTATCTTGTGTGCAAGCGGCACCGAAATCTGATAATAATGCTGTCACCGATGGATTCGTAGAGTTGAAGAATGGGGAGAAAATTCCTATTGTGGGTGCTGTAATGTCAAAACAGCCAACCGGTGTTACGAAAGGAATGCCAACGCTGCCTGGAAAAGTTGCGGGCAAAAAGATTACGGTGTTAAGAGATACCGGTAGCTCCACGGTTATCGTGCGGAGAAATTTGGTACGGGAAAGCGAGTCGACAGGCAGAACGAAACCGGTTTGCCTAATTGACCGTACGGTGCGGATGCTTCCCGAAGCAGAAATTGAGGTTGAAACCGCGTACTTCAGCGGGAAGGTTACCGCTGTATGTATGACGACCCCCCTTTACGACCTTGTCATCGGAAACATCGATGGGGCGCGAGGACCGAATTATCCGGAATACTTGGGAGAAGAACCTAAGATAGAACCCTCGCCAACCCAGCGACCGCGAGATACAGTGGAGGAGCATCCCGTGACGGACCTCACTAGAGCCCAAGGTGAAGCCGCGGCGCAAGAGACAGTGAAGGAGAAGATGATCGTGTTGAATGAGTTCACGGGCCGAGCAACCGGACTTACGTCGGCACGACCTCAACCGACCGACAGTGTAAAGGTGAAGGAGTCGGCCAGCCGGGCCAGATGTCGAGACATGAACAAGCTGGTAAATAAACAGACAGGACCCGTCGAATGTTATGACCCGTTAACGGTGTCGGAAGTGACAACGATGGCTGAGACACCGCCTCAGATATCGTCGTTGGAAAGGGCCCGCCGAAAAAGAACGTGGAAACACAAGAAGAGATCGAGCGAGCACCGCAAGAAAGGGCGCAAGCGCCGCTCGAAATGCACAGGATAGGTGCTGAGGTGGAATCGGAATGTGTTTGGCAGGGCTGAGTGGCATATGTTGTGTTAATGTTCTTGTTATCCTGTGTCTCAAGTGTATGTCGAGCGAGTCAAAGTGATCTATGCGATGATGTGATGTATAGTGTTGTATAATTGTTGTAAAGACAGAACTTTGTACGTTTGTATTGTTTGGAATGTGTGATGAAGTGTTGTAGTCATGCACCTGAGATTATATTTCATGTGTGTGAGATTGAATTGTAATGTCCAATTGTATTGAGTGATATATTGTGAATGTGACGTGTCGTGAGCGACGGACTATGTTACAGTCTTTGAGAGTGTGTGGTGACTGCTCGCGCTCGTTTGTGTGGTTTTGAATATTATGAGATAATATTCTTAAAGTGGGGGGCAGTGTCAAAGAACAAGCGCTAAACATGGGCGCGCCGCCAAATTCTTGCGATAACGGGCTGGAGAAACGCCGCGAGGTTAAAAGAAAAAAAAGAAAACAAACATCCAAGGCTCCCCGGGCGCGCGACGCTCTCCCCTCGGAAGCGTGGCTTCGCCGATGAACCTCCTCACCCCACAGCGGCGGCCGGGCAAGCACTGGAAAGTTCCAGAAGGAAATAGGCGTGGTCATACCGAGTTGAGTCATCGGTCGGGGACGGCTCTCGTACAGTCTCGCGCCTCTCCCCAGCCTTCGCGGCGTATCGCGCCGACGAAATGACGAGAACCTTCTGGAATGTCGCGCGCACGGTATTTAACCGAGCAGCCGAGATGAGAGATCAGGAGAAGACGGAAGTACCGCCAGAGTGCGTAGGAATTCCGCCATGTAGTCGGTGAAGGTTTTGTCCGTATGGACGAAGCAGGAAATGAAGAGGATTTCCACCTGAGGGGTGAAGGCTCGAGCTACAGGCAAGAGTGTGTGTTTACCGCTATCGAGCGAAGACGCGTGGCGACAGCTGCGTGTGTGAAGCCGACGTGTTCGGGCGAAGAAGTTTGAAGCTTGGAGATTGGCCAATTAAAGACGCGAGGTTTCCTGGAAGAGAAACTTCGTGGGCGCGGAACGACAACAACGCTGGACTTTGAGTGAGTGATTCTCGGAAGAGTATCATCCAGACTTTTGTTCCAAGGACTTTGGACTGAATAGGTTTTCTATCTCTTTAGTCTTTAAGTGTCTTGGTTGTTAAATGCATGCGACTGCATTGTAGTGTGAATTGTTGTCTGTGTCCGTTGTTTTGAGTGTGGCTGATTGTACTGTGTAGTACGTTGGTTGATTGGTGACATATTGTACTCAACTATTGTAGTGTGCATTCTTGTGTATTGTTTTCCATCTGCCATTATTGAGAATATAATTTTGTTTGTTTATCAACTCTCGGCTCTGACTTGTTCTTTGGGCTACAGCCGGCGTCTGCTGGCGCGCCAATAAGGACCACTTCTAAATTGTCCACGCTTTCGTAGTGCGGTTCGGGGGGCCGATACTTCGGCCCTTGGAATTAGCCCGGCGATCGCCTCCTTAAATAACGGGACCTGTGTGACAACAGGGTGCACTGAAATTACCGAGCATGAATAATGTAGAATGTACATGGGTTAAAGCTACACGAATGTTAACTTCAGATTATGCCATTGCATGCAGCCGATTGTTCCCTGTGCATTACAGGTGGCTTCACAATCAAGGAGGTAGCTAATAATTTGTTCAGGTGGGAGAGCCTAATCTTCCTTCATGTACGTTCGTCCATGTGATTTTATGTGTACCTGTATGAGTTCACATACAAACGAAAAAGAAAACATGAAAGGCGGTGTTTTTTGCAGTCATTCACCTCTCCTCCTCTGGCTACGCCAATGATTGCAGCACACTGCACCATAATGAAGCGTGTTCCAGTACAGCATGAAATGACCCTGCATATTGTAGGGCGCCTTACGTGTCGAAGCTGTCTAGCTGAATATACCGATGATGTCGCTTACTTCAGGTCCGCTAATGTTTGCGCGTGATGTAAGTAGGAAATGGTCTGTTAGCAATTTCTTGATTGAAGAACGTGTTCAAAAGCTTTCAAAGTTTTCGTTTACGGAGGAAGGGAGGAATTATTCCCGACTGAAAAATAGGCCTTTTCGTTGCTACCGTGACTGGAAAACAGCATATAATGATTATCTGGCAGTCATAAATTGACATTCGTTATTACCTTCTGTGCAGAGAAATATGCTGGTACTTTCTTGACGGATTTATCGTTGACGTCACTGCGCTCTCGTGCAGGTCTTTTTTCGGGCGACCACGTGTTGTACGAAGATTACCGCCAGGACAAGCAGCCGTCTCTGCTCTACATGGTGGTGACGGCCATTGAAATACTGCAAAAGCGTGGAAACGGTTTCGCGCTCATGGTTGAAGGTGAGCAATGTTGTTTTCATCGACACGCTTTCGTCACTGAATGAAAAAATCACCAGCAGTTTTCATTATTTTATCGTACTGGTTTCCTTGTTAACGTTCTCATTTGGTGCGAAATATGTCTCATTTGCAAATTACTTGTCATATAAGGATGAATAGCGAAGCCACTGGTTGATCCACAATTTCGCACGGAGGTGCATCTAATTCTCACAGATGGTATGTATTCAAAATTTTAAGGCATTAGGAAGAAGCGGCGGCTCATTGTTTATTTATTAGGTTCGCCCATGGTAAAATATACGTAGGTAGCGTAACGTCATTGTGCCAAAAGTAATGCATGACTGGGTTCGTTTATTGTCAATATTAATTGAAACATTCAATGAGATCTGAAATCAAGACGGTAGCAGATGGATGGAAACACAATGTAGCATAAGCAGAACGAACAGAGGAACTTCCTTTCTTTTTTTTGCCCCTTATCTATCTCTCTTACATCTCCTTTTACCCTCGGGATGACAATCTTGGGCGTCGTCGGAACCTTGCTTTAAATAGGGCAAGGGCTACGCTCTTCTGCTTCACAGATTTTTTTTCTTTGCAGACTGTGATTACGAACAGTGACATGGGCGCCACCACTGGAGATGACCTTAAAACCAATCCTTTTAAAAGTAACACGACAAGGATGCTAAGACGACTTTGACAAAGATAAGTCCTCCCATAGAAACGTTCGGCCGACCTGTTGAAGGCACTTTTGTACTGCTTATCTCGGTTGAACTAGGAGTTTTATGTGCGGAAACGCATACCTAATGATGAGGAACATCGCAGTGGGGAGACTGGGGAGTAATTTAACCACATGCGGTTCTTTAATGTGCCTATGTTAAGGTATGCGATTGTGTAATCTAACACCCTTCTTTTTCATCGACTACGAACCAACGGAGAAAGTGCCAGAAAGTTGATATGCAGTACCTCACGTTTTTTATACTATAGTGCGCAGATCTGGAGCAGATTCCCTCATCTCCGCTTCAAGGCATCAATTTAATTGGCACTCTTTTTTCTCATCCATAATACATGTGGCACAGCTAAAATGGTGCCGTCATAAACTGATTGTACGTACCATTCCTAAATGCGTCGTGTCTCGCTTGAGATTGCGCTGGGCTCAAGTTATGCTGGCGTATATATAGGGCTCGCGCTCTGTTAACAGCGTTTCCATCCTGTTGTAATAAAATACGGCGTGAACTATTGAGACACTTAGAAGGAACTGGTTCTACTATACACAGGTCGTTGAATTGTCGGAAGTGACGCTAGTCTGTGCGTAAGCCTACTTCGCCTTCCGATCATCTCATGCGGGGAGAATTTCAGTTGAATATAGACGAATCAGATTTTTTCTTTCATTTTTCTGTCGAGTGGCTCCACGTATACGATGCTAGCAAACGCTTACGAAACCCGTACAGCGAATGGCATAGTCATCCATTTGGCGTTGACGTCTGGCGTTCGGCTATTGTTCACCTGGATGGACAAACGGGTCATCCTTTCACATACGACGCAGCTTTTGGTGGTCGGCAGCCGCCTTTTGTTTGCGGTGCAGCGCAGCACGGTCGCTCATCATAACACAGCGATAGCAGATACTCTTGCGGAAATTACCCCGGAAGCAGCTTCCTTGCCCGCTGGCAAGACATATGCGTTCTCAGCGCATGCGCTGCCGACTAATACCTGCCTGGTTGAAACGGAAACCAAAGCCGTGTTCTCCCAAACGCTGCTGATGCTCTCGAAGTGCGTATGATAGCTGCAGGTTACATCTGTGTCTGCGGATGTTTCACTTTCTTGAGGTATACTTGACGAATATATTACGACAGTGGCCGCTGTATGTGTTGGCGTCTTCTGACAGCGCCCACGTCTCCATTACGTAAAAGCTCATCACTTGGCAGAAGCTGGCAAGATAGAAAAAAAAGTGAATAGATGGGGCAGGGACACAGCTTGGTTCTTTTCTATTCTTTCGTTTATACTTTGTGTAGCATGATGATCTTTTTTGAGACTACTTTGTCTGTTAAGTAGTATTAGTAGTAGTAGAAAAACTTTATTAAGTCCATATTCCAGACAGGCTTGAACTCCAGTTTTGTCTATTAAAAAAAAACTACCAGGGTCTTCTTCACACAGTTAAGACGAATGAAAGCCCCACAGTGTTCGTCTAGTGTCTAAGACCGCGTTCACACTGAGCATTCCGGCCGTCGAAAGTGCTCCGAATCCGGTTCGGTGGCGGCGAGATCCGCCGAAAGGGCCTTCTCCACGCCGATCGCTCTCGGACCAATTTTTGCGGCGTCTGTCCCCGAATAGGTCACCGCGGTCCAATAGGAGCGCTAGTCAAGGAATTTCGAAAAACGGCAGCCAAGCCCTACTCACTTGTTATTCCGCAGTGCACGTAATTGAAGGTTGAAACCAACGGGAGTTTAACCTACTCTGTGCCTACTTCGCCTCCGTGTTTCGTGAAAGAGGTGACCGAGCTTGCTATTGGCGTGACAGAGCTTGTTGCGGTCTTGCAGAGCAAAACGAACCCACCAACACCGCTGGCGTCGGTGGTTTTTCTGCTCTTCGTGCATTACAAGACAGCCACTTGCCAGCAAAGTAAGCAGTACTGTCTTTTCTTGCTTCTTGCGTACGAGAATTGTCGAAGTATACACCACCGGATAGCGTAGTAGCGTTTGCGAGCCGCGACAACAACCGGGTGACAGCGCATCCATCCCGCAGTCGCCCCGTGGTAGATGGCATATTCGGCGGCGCGGGGCGCGTCCACTGGAAACGACGCTGCGTTTCGGCGGCAGGGGAATTTCGGTCACTGTAGAAAGCGGATGTTTCGGTGTGAACTAGGCATAAGGTCGGCTGCTGACCCGCATGTCGTGGGATCGAATCCCGGCTGTGGTGACTGCATTATCGATGGAGGAAAAAACGCTTTAAGTCCATGTGCTCAGATTCTAGTGCAAGTTAAGGAACCTCAGGGTGTCGAAATTTTCAGAGCCCTCCACTATGGTGGTTTTAGGACGTTAAACCCCACATATCGGTCCATCAAGACCAAAAGAAAGGCGAAAGACATCTTTTACTTCGGAGTCAATAAATGTTCCTGCCCGGCCAACCACCGAAAAGTTTCTGTACCTAACATGCGGTTTTTTTTCTTTTGCCATACGATACCACTGTCAGTGCTTTAGCAGAGATGTATACGTTACAAAAAGAAAAAAAATTGGCAGATCCCACTTACTGTAGGAATCGATGATATGCGAAGCACGAATGAGAAATGTTGTTATGTCACTTATAAATCACCACAAAATTATGAGGTGGAGACATATAATGCCGTACATGACTTCCGTGTCATGATTAATATGTTTGGATGTGTCGTTTACCTTCGCCATCTATCACGCCACGTGATACCAAATTTAGTATATGTGGAGCTAGCAAAACGGCCGCGAGCCGGCTATGAGCATGGTATGTGTTCATGTTCTTACATGACAAGCGTGTCAGGATTATCAGGTCTGCACCAGTCGTATCCATTGACGTCACGTAACATCGAATAGGTGACCGGTAAAATAGGCAATCGCAGGGAACTGTGGGATACGACTGCTTCCGGTTCGACGCACCACTCGGGTCAGCCGCGCCACGCGTGCATTTTCGTACTGCTCCGTTGAAAAAAGCACCTCGCCGTGCAATGTCAATGCTTTAGAAGTAGTTTTTTTTTCTTTTTTGCTACCCGTAATTGTGACAATGACGAGCTACGAAAGCCGTGAATGGTCCAGAAACTTTTTGTCGCAATAATATGATCTGCAATGCTTTTATTCATCTCGGGGGTGCTGTCAGTTTGGCTAGCAGATCAGTCGACACGCAAAACAGTTTTCCTTGTATGATATGGTACTGCAGATAAAAAGTCACAATTTTAAAGATCTCAGGGGATAAGGAGGACAGTAGCAGTGTGCTAAGAGTTCATTTCGGGATCCCTGTTATGGCCGAGCTCGTCAGTCGATCGGCATGAAGCGCAACACTTATTGAGTGCGTTGAGATATTTTTTTTCTAGCCTTCGGCGCGCTTTAAGATGCATTTCTTAGTCGAAGCCCGATGCTTATTTGAACGCTGATCTTGGTCAAGCTGCACGGCACGGCGGCACATAAACAATACAGTCAGACTTAGACGGCGCCGAATAATCAAAACCCTGCGCTTGTTTATCGTGACATGACATGCATGACATGTTACATGACATGCATGACATGTTACATGACATGCATGACATGTTACATGACATGCATGACATGTTACATGACATGCATGTCATGATTTCTACGTTAGGGCTGTCACTTGTGTTCGCCATGCAGTCATGTCATACCATGCCAATTTTGCAACATGTCATATGACGGAAACCACAACAAGAATAGCAAGACCTTGAAATATAAATCATGACATATTTGTCATGATTTTCATGTTATGACTAGTCGCTTATGTACTTCATACAGTCATGTTATGCCATACTAAGTTTGGTATCGATAGCATAATCGAAACGGCCTGGAAAGCTAAAAGTCGTAGACGGCTAGATGGATAGATACGCTCAAAGTCGCCGAAGTTCGCTAAGGAATGCTTCGTCGCAGTGGGTAGCGATTGAGAGTATGCAACTCGACCACAGAACACCTACACTCGACTATGGAAGAGAACACAGCCAGCCCACGGACCTCACACTTGATTAGGCCCTGTTATCAATGATTACGCCGTGAACACACGACGACGGGGAGGGGGGGGGGGGGTAGAAAAACGAGGTAACGATTTAGAGCACAGGGTACTCTACTATGGGAGAGCTTAAAGCCGTCCCGAAGGCCTGCATGTCAAGGCCCTATGTTTAGAAAATTGGTTAACGATTTAGAGAACTTCGTACACTACTATACCGCCGAATGATCAATTGTTCAGTTGTAGGAATGACTGCAATGTGTTTTGCTGGCGCTTTTTTTCTTTTTCGCCCCGCTTCGTGGCGCAAGTGCAGTGTTTCT